GGGAGAAGAAGCAGGCTCGATGCAGGGAGCCTGATGGAATCGCCGGGATCATGCCCTGAGCCAAAGGCAGATGCTCAACCGCTGAGCTACCTAGGTGTCCCCTTCCTATCAAAATTTATTTATTTATTTATTTATTTATTTATTTATTTATTTATTTATTTTATGATTTTATTTATTTATTCATGAGAGACACACAGAGAGGGAGAGGCAGGGACACAGGCAGAGGGAGAAGCAGGGAACCTGATGTGGGACTCAATCTTGGGTCTTCAGGATCACACGCTGGGCTGAAGGCGGTGCTAAACCGCTGAGCCACCCGGGCTGTTCTCCTATCAACTTTTAAGTATAGGATAGGTAGTTTCTAATTTATTTGTCAGCTTGGGTATTCGATAATTTAGGTCAACTAAATGTTATTCTTGAGATCTTTGGAAACATCAGATTTTAGAAATCATACAAGTTTTAGTAAAAAAACATTACAGAAGCAGATGGGTCTTTTCCTGGAAAATAATGTAAATCTAAACACAAACCTATGCTGTTCCCTCTGGGTAAAACAACTTCCTTATTTTTTTTTTTTTATTGTTCTTCAAATCTCAGTTCAAGCACTATGTGAAATCTTCCCTGATTTCGCAGACTCAGGGGGCTTCTTCGTTGACATATTTACATTGTATTAATTTATTCATTTGTTAGACATTTACTGAGTGACTACTAAGAGGCTAATATTGCATTATACTGTGACTGCTGGCATGGTTCCTGTTTATCTTTAGGCAATTTGAGGATGTGAACCCTCAATAAAGTTTGGTCAAATAAAACCTAATACCCTCATCATTCTAAAGTGAGGAGTAGGCCACCAGATTATTGTAAAGGCGTTTGCAGAGGTGACCAGAAATAAATATACTGCATTAGAATGCATTAGAATTAGTTTCTAACTGATAAAGGAAAGATTATTTTTGTAGGGAAGAACAGTGTGAACAGAGGAGAAAGAGAATTAATTTATTGTGTCATGCATTTTAATACAGGTTCTTGAAGTGGACTTTAGGGTTGAGATCCCTCTCCTACTTCTACAATAAAAGGTTTCCTTTTTCTTGCTTAAATACCCCCACAAAACCCATTCAAAATGGATGACTGAGGAAGGACTTTTTAAAAAAATCTCTAAATTAAGGGATTTTTATAATTTTATGAAATTTATTCTTTCCTTAAAAAGTAGTCACTGAAATCTGAAGTATGTTTATTTTTTAAATGTCATTCTGGCTAACATACTTCACCTACTTCATATCCTCTAGGCCTCAGCTTCTTCACGTGAAAACTAGGACATTTGAAGATGAGATGAAATATGATTCTTACTACTGCTGCAATTAATTTTAAGATAACAGACTGACTAATGCCTTATCTATAAGCAACAGGAACACTGTGTTTCTCTGCATAAGAGATCCAGAAACTGGGATGCCTGGGTGGCTCAGTGGTTGAGCATCTGCCTTTGGCTCAGGGTGTGATCCTAGAGTCCCAGGATCAAGTCCCACATCGATTTTCCTGCATGGAGCCTACTTCTCCCTCTGCAAATGTCTCTGCCTCTCTCTCTCTGTGTCTCTCATGAATAAATAAAAAAAAAAAAAAAAAAAAAAAAGGTCAGCCCGGGTGGCCCAGCGGTTTAGTGCCAGCTTCAGCCCAGAGCATGATCCTGGAGAACCCAGGATCGAGTCCCACGTCAGGCTACCTGCATGGAGTCTGCTTCTCCCTCTGTCTGTGTCTCTGCCTCTCTCTCTGTATCTATCATGAATAAATAAATAAAATCTTAAAAAAAAAAAGAGATCCAGAAATTATGCTTTTCTACTGCTACTGCTCTGAGCTCCAATTTTTTCTTAGCATCATCTGAAATTCTACCCTAACCCAAGAGTAGAAGAGCCTCTATAAAAATAAAATAAATTCTTAAAACATAATTTTAATATGCTTGGAATTTTAAATTCATGACAGAAGACAATTCTAGGAAGTGCTGATAAAAACTACTTGATGGAAAAAAAAAAAAAAAACTACTTGATGGGTAAAGTAGGGTAGATGGGTGTCAAACTTCCGAGATGGTGAGGGACTGTAGATGTTGCAAATGTTAGATATCCTTGACATAATGAGAAAAAAATGTTTAAATTCAAGTCTGTAGAAATCCATTTACATAAAGTTGTATATCCACATTGACATAAATATGTTCCTGCAGAGAGAGGTTTGGGAGGCTATTGATCAAAATATTATCAGTGATTACCTTTGTGTGTGTGCATGCAGGTTTCTTTTTTTAAAGATTTATTTATTTATTTTAGAGAGCATGTGTGCACGCACATATGAGGGGAAGAGGGAGAGAATCTTCAAGTAGACTTCTGGCTGAATGCAGAGTCCAACACTGCTGGAACCCACGACCCATAAGATCATGATTTGAGCTGAAACCAAGAATCTTAACTGACTGAGCTACCCAAGTACCCCTCAATAGTTACATCTGAACAGTGATAGTTAAGGTGAAAACTTTCTACTTTATGCTTTTTTATAATTAGAAAACTATAGGGCAGCCCCGGTGGTGCAGCAGTTTAGCACGGCCTGCAGCCCAGGGCGTGATACTGGAGACCTCGGATCGAGTCCCATGTCAGGCTACCTGCATGGGGCCTGCTTCTCCCTCTGCCTGTGTCTCTGCCTCTCTCTCTCTCTGAATGAATAAATAAAGAAATCTTAAAAAAAAAAAAAAGAAAACTATAGAACTATGTTAATTTTTTTAAAGGATACCATTTAGGATCCCTGGTTGGCGCAGCGGTTTGGCGCCTGCCCTTGGCCCCGGGGCGCGATCCTGGAGACCCGGGATCGAATCCCACGTCTGGCTCCTGGTGCATGGAGCCTGCTTCTCCCTCTGCCTATGTCTCTGCCTCTCTCTCTCTCTGTGACTATCATAAATAAATAAATTTAAAAAAAAGGGTACCATTTGTTGCATATTTCAGCTCTGTACTAACTGCTTTACATACATTATTTAGTTCTCAAAATAATTCTAATAGATTCTCAATTTATAGGTATAGATTTCTAGACAGAAAGGATGTATGTATTTCCTAAAGCCAGTAAGTGGTGAATTTAGAGGTGGCGTTGAGGTGTCTTTGACTTCAGATTCCTTGCTATCTTATGACCATACTATCTCATTAATTGTTCTATTTAGTTAATGCTAATATTGATAAAATTGATATAGGCAGTAATACTGAAAAAGACATTTTAAAATATAAATTTCCTTTGAATGAAACTTTGGCTAGGCATTTACTTAGAGGCAAGACATTTTTTGATTTTATTTTGTTTGTATTTATTTATTTATTTATTATTATTTATTTATTTATTTATTAAAGAGAATGTATGCTTTTTTTTTTAAGATTTTATTTATTTATTCATGAGGGCCACACACACACACACACACACAGAGAGAGAGAGAGAGAGAGAGAGAGAATGGAGCAGAGACACAGGTAGAGGGAGAAGCAGGCTCCATGCAGGGAGCCCGACATGGGACTCGATCCCTGGTCTCCAGGATCACACCCTGGGCTGAAGACGGAGGTAAACTGCTGAGCCACCCGGGCTGCCCCATTTTGTTTTTATTTTTATTTTTTATTTTATTTTATTTTTAAGATTTATTTATTTACTTATTTATGATAGACATAGAGAAAGAGAGAGAGAGGCAGAGACACAGGAGGAAGGAGAAGCAGGCTCCATGCCGGAAGCCCGACGTGGGACTCAATCCTGGGACTCCAGGATCACATCCTGGGCCAACGGCAGGCGCTAAACCGCTGAGCCACACAGGGATCCCCTCATTTTGTTTTTAAAAAACAAAAGCCAAACTGTTTCATATGAGTTTAAGAAGGCCTTCAGAGCCCAGCAATGTTAAATTTTTGAAGTTCTCATTTTTTTACAGAATATATTTAAATATTAAATAGTCTTTTCAAACATAAGGTTACTAAATAACTTTAAAGAACTACACTACAGAAATTAATATTCCACTATTCTTGATATACTAGTCTTTAAGTCATCTTAACTATTTTATCCTTAGTTATCCTCTCAAGATATGATTTCAGTTCACTTTAAGATTAACATAAGGGCCCCCACCCTCAAAAAAAAATTAACATAAGGGCATAGAAGGTTCAGACAGGTATTTGAGCATGCCCAGAACGGCAAAGTGAGTAGAGATAGAAAAGTTGATTTCACACAAGAAACACTGTCATTATTTTTAAAGTCTGTTAACAAAATATAACCACTTGAGAGAAAAATAGATGGTCATATATTATGCATGAAAACAGCAGAATACTAGCATTTCAACCCAATTTCAAAAAAAGATAATATTAGGGTTGTCAAGTAAATGCCATATGCCAGGAACAATCTAGTTATTAACCCTCATTCAAGGGATTTGTACTACTTGTATTTTTCAGTTTATTGATATATATTTATTGTGTTAAATATTTAATCTATTTTTATGAAACTTAATATACTGTTAACTATTTCAAGAAAGCTAATTTTTACTTGTTATGAAAAAGTCCTCTTCAAGTAAAAAGCATCTGGATCTTTGTAGGTTATTAATTCCTAGTACTCATATTTATACTGGTTCACGATCCTATAATTTTGAAATTCATTGGCATTTTAGGGAAGTTTAAGCCACAGCTCATTTGTGGCAAAATCTGACTTGAACCAAAGAGAGGCTATTTATAATTTTTATTTATTTCACTTAGTGTGACTATTCAAACGTTTTACTACAAAAATACTATGCTTGATCATGGGATCCTTTCCCATATCTGCTTAAGGTGTTATACAATATATGGTATATGGATCACCCTTCTAAAATCTGAAAAATTTTGACATTTTATTTTTAAGTAATCTCTACAACCAACGTGGGGCTCAAATGCACAACCTCAAGACCCAAAGTCCCATGCTCTATTGGTTGAGCCAGCCATGTGCCCCTAAAAATCCAAGATATCTATGTTATCTTATTTATTTTAAAGATTTTATTTTTAAAAAATATGGAACACTTCACAAATCTGCATGATATCCTTACACAGGGGCCATACTAAACTTCTCTTACTCTCCCAAGTTTAGTATATGTGCTGCTGAAATGAGCACTGAAAAAATTCTAATTTTTGAAACACATCTGACCCAAAGGGTTTTTTTATTTTATTTTATTTATTTATTTATTTATTTATTTATTTATTTATTTATTTATTTATTTATGAATGATAGTCAGAGAGAGAGAGAGAGAGAGAGAGAGAGAGAGAGAGAGAGAGGCAGAGACACAGGCAGAGGGAGAAGCAGGCTCCATGCACCGGGAGCCCGACGCGGGATTCGATCCGGGGTCTCCAGGATCGCGCCCTGGGCCAAAGGCAGGCGCCAAACCGCTGCGCCACCCAGGGATCCCTGACCCAAAGGTTTTTAATATGAGATTGTGGACCTCTAAGTCACATATTTTAAATATCTCACACAACTTGGAATGGAGTGAAGCAATGCTCTTTATTAATCATAACTTATTCTGACTATTCTTGGATAGTAGTACTTTTGGTTAGAAGAGATATAAGAACTCATAATTGGGTTGAGTGTGCATAGTCTCTCAGGGAAGCAAAATGGAGACACTAGAATACCAAAGGTAAATCTAAGAGAAAAACATGCCCTTCAGTAATGCCATGAAAACAAAACAAAAACACCACCAACAACCCTTGTGTCTTGACACTCTTTAGACATATCTAGAGGCATGACTGGGCATGACTGGTTGGAATAGCCACATGATAAATATACTTTTATTTTGGTAGCTCTCAGAGACTCTGCTTTAAGAGCTATAATCAAAAAAAAAAAAAAAAAAAAAAAAGAGCTATAATCAGGGCCAGCCCAGGTGGCTCAGTGGTTTAGCACCACCTTCAGCTCAGGGCCTGATCCTGGAGTCCCAGGATTGAGTCCCATGCCGGGCTCCCTGCATGGAGCCTGCTTCTCCCTCTGCCTGTGTCTCTGTCTCTCTCTCTCTTTCCCTCTCTCTGTGTCTCTCATGAATAAATAAATAAAAACTTAAAAAAAAAAGAGCTATAATCACAGGCTAGATAAAAAAGTGAACCTCCAGGCTCTTTTGTGTCAGTATATTACCAAGGCATCAATGGAAAGCTCTGGATACCTGTAGGTAGTTAGAGAAGGCACTAAATCCAGAAAAGCACAAAGACTCATTATACAGATGGTAGATTTTCTAAAAAAAAACAAGTAAGTCCTTTCTGAAAGACAAAAACTTAGGACAATGCCCTCTGAACACTTGACAGCCAGTACTGCTGTTTCTGGAGAGCAACAATCATATTTATAATCAGAGCCTTTAATTTTTGGATACTGCGGTCAGTATATGTGTAGGAGGATGCGACCTATTTACTCACAAGAGAATTTTCCACAAATTCTCTATCACAGCATACGCCAATGCTATACACAATATAAGATTTCCATCAGGGAACCCTGGGTGGCTTAGCAGTTTAGTGCCGCCTTCAGCCCAGGGCCTGATCCTGGAGACCTGGGATCAAGTCCCAAGTCCAGCTCCCTGCATGGAGCCTGCTTCTACCTCTGCCTGTGTCTCGATAAATCTACTCACTAAAAATGATAATTTTCAAGTAATTTCCCTGTATTTATACTGATTCCATGTAGTCACTTATAGACAAGGATAATTTTGGGTAAATACTTTTTTCTCAGTTTTACTGAGAAATAATTGACATATATTATTATATAAGTTTAAGGTGTACATTATGTTAGTTTGATTTACATATATTGTACATATTTTTAACAGATGTATAAAATGATCCAATTAAGTGAAAATTTAATGTGCAAAAGTTCCAAATTACAGCAAGTGTCCACTTAATATAGCTTTTAATCTTTACATGGAAGAATTACATACCACAACTAGTGGCTAAAATAATGGAAAAAGATCATATATCAGAAATTTGTAAGCTATTTTTTAAAAGATTTTATTTATGAGAAAGAGAGAGAGAGAGCGAGCACGAGTGGGGGCAGTAGAGGAGAGGGAGAAGCAACCTACCTGCTGAGCATGGAGCCCAATTCTGGGCGATCTCAGGACCCTGAGATCATGACGTGAGCCAGGCAGACACTTAACCAACTGAGCCACCCAGGCACCCCTGTCAGCTAGTTTTTATATCTGCAATACTGTGATAAAAATGTCAGCTAATGATATCTGTGAAGATCTTATTATTTGCAGTTCAGGAAAAGTAAAGAGGAAAAAGGTCTTCTCATCCCTACCAGAAAATTTGGGGAAAAAGTTTCCTTCAGTTTTTCCTGTCTTAATATATGGATGTGTGTGTTTCCCATATTATTCCCCATCCCAGGTTGAAATAGGATGGGAGGTCCTTTTCATAGGACCTGAAGGAAATGTCCTTAAGGGTACAAATCACTAGTTTTGGTAATGGAAGGAACAAACACTGAGATGTATGCAAGGCAGAGGTGCTGAGGAAGAAAAGTACAAGAGGGATAAGAAGGGACACTAATTGTTAGTATTGGCTGCTGTTTATTCTACACAGATTGCCTTTTAGGCTTATAAACTGCTAAGAAAGAGGTTGATGAGATCTATATTATGCAATAAAAAAGGAGAGCAGAAGTTTCAAGGGAGTTTGATATTTTGCTATTTCTAAAACAATTAGGGGCAAAAGCTAAAAAAATGAAATATGCTTGTCTTATGGAAAGATAGGGGAAAAAAGATAGTCAACATTTACTCTTTATCTACTATGTGCCAGGTATTGAATCAAATGCTTAAGTATCTCATTTAATTTTCAAACCGATTAAGGTTTTCAACATTTATATATGAGAAAGCTGAATCAGCGAGGTTAAATATATATAAATATATAAATAAAATAAACACAGCTAGCAAATGGCACAGCCAGGATTTGCTCCAGAGCTCATGATTTCTCATTATATGACACCTATATGAGTTTCTAACACAAGCATGACCCACCTGATAGCTGAATGACTCTCCAAAATTGAGATCCTAATATATGCACTTGTCAATTTTCCTAATCAAACATCCACTTTTTTGGGGGGAGTAAGGGAAATTTTAGGGCACATCTCATCCTTTAGAATAATCTTACATTAAAACTTTCATTTCAGCAAAGAAAGGTGAACATTACTCTTTCTAGAAAGGATTCCTAACTTTCTAGTATCATCTGAAAAATGGTAATTGAGGATATAAAGTAAGGACAACCATAGAAATCAACAGCTCTATACGGAAGTAAAGACAAGGAAATCTTTCAGGGTTAACTATGAGACAACAACTAACTTCCATCAGACAAAACTTGCAACTGATCATTGTCATTTGTAATGATCTTATGGTAAACACTAAGATTCTCAATCTAATTCTATGGCTATGGGACACCCTGGGTGGCTCAGTGGTTGAGCATCCGCCTTTGGCTCAGGGCGCGATCCCTGGTCCGGGGATTGTGTCCCACACTGGGCTCCCTGTGAGGAGCCTGCTTCTCCCTCTACGTCTCTGCCTCTATGTGTCTCTCATGAATAAATAAATAAAACCTTTTTTAAAAAATAATTCTATGGCTGTAAAAAATAGAAATAATTGTGTCTTTATAAAACCATTTTGGCAGTTTCTTTCGGTATATCATCCTAAGGCATGAGTCAAAATAATTATATATTAAAATAAAATGACAAGAAATTTTGATCCATCTGCAAGTAAAGATAAGCCAAAAAACCAAAAAGGGTACAATCACTTCAAACCTTGTAATATTGTGACTGAATGTTTTCATTTGGACATCTTTGACTTTTGCAGGAAAAATAAAAAAGTATCAATCTTTTCAGTATGAGTAGGAAAGGAAATCCTTGATTTATATGAGAAAATGGAAAGCCCCAGTTTAAGCATCCAGTGGCTCCTTACACACACACACACACACACACACACACACACACACACACACACTTTTAATCTCAATACCAGGTCCCACCCTTCATTAACATGCAAACCCATACATCCCATCTCCCCCACCCTTGACCCATACGCCCATATACCTCAGCTATGGTCATTCTCAGAGCACTGACAGGGGAGAGCTCAATATCCACCAGTTGGGCAGCTTTTAAACTCTGCCCAGTAAAGATTGCACAAGGACAGAAAATAGCATAGTTAGAATTTTAAGGCAAACAGGGACACACAGCTAAGAACATTTAGCACAGTGTCTAGAAACAAAGGAGGATTTAGGATTGTAGTTGGGCCTTAGACAAGTGAGATGAGAGTTTATCTACTCTTAGAATTCTGATTTTTCTGAGGAAAATGGGGAGAGATAAAATAATTTCGAATTAGTCACAATTTTAAATCAAGCTTAGCAAACCTGTCTGTATTCTGTATATTCTAATGCCCTGCTTCATTCTTCTCCAATAAAGAAGTCAAATTATATGGGACAACACTGCTGAGTCATTAAGCAAAAGCAGACTGATTTTTAAAAAACGGCATTAATATAAAGGTTATAATCTAGAGGTAAATGCTGATTTCCTACATAGCCACAAACAGGGCTCCTTAAAATGTAAGAAAAGTAATGAAGATATCTCCAGCAAAGGTTTCTACTAAACTGATACCATGAAACTCTGATTTCATAAATTACCCTGGTTCTGATTCTAGGTTTACTAAAAGACCTTATGAATATAATTTGACTTCTCTCTTTGGCTTGCCTATATTGAAAGAATGTGTTAGATATGCCAACATGTGCTTTTTCAACTTGAAGAAGTTGATTATCCTTTATTTAATGTATCAAATTAGCATACTGGTTCTATCTTCTTTAATTCAAATAGTGGCAAACATTTTTCATAAACTCAAGGATAAAATACATGATTAATGTCTGCTTTTTAAAAATTGCCAATTTGGCATTTATATTAATGTTCTGACATTCTAAAATATCTGAAAGGAATTATAAAGGGCCTGTAATTTTTTATAAAGCCAACCAAAATACGTGCAGGCACATATTCACTGTTGTTTATTGATTCTATTCCGGTTAAAATTTAACCACTGGTTTCTTTGGAAGTGTGTACATGTGAAGAATTTCATGGATGGAAAGTATAATTCATATTTGGATTGAAAAAAATTTTATTGAGTATTTCTTCTT